AATCGCACAGCAAACCTGAAGTGTATATTACAAGATGAGGGACAGTGGGTCTGCTGCCTGGACTGTCCACATCACGTACACGTGGAGCATTGCCACGCTGGGTACCTGGTGCCTTTAAGGGTTAGTAGGCTGCAGATGGAGGGGGCGGAGCCTGGGAGTTTAGACCCGTGTACGTCCAGCTCGCTGCATGCTTGCGAGTTCTGTATCCAATCTTAACCCTTCTAGTGACACCGGGGTCAGAAATCTGATAAGCAGATCAGGAGTCCACTTAAAATCCAGCTCCTAAGGCCCATTTTAGAAGCCTGAGCAACCTATGATTTCCACATTTTAAAGGCTGTTACCCCGGGCATTTTTGGAAACATCATTAAGCTATCGTTGTCTCGCTCGTCAGTTATGATAAATACAAACAAAAATTAAAGGGTGGCTCCCACCTTCCACCATTGCAAAAAGTGCTTACAGACTTTAAACATTGTGTCTCAGGTGCTAAAAACTGGGATGGTCCCAGGAAAAGTTTTAAAAACCAGGAAAATCAAAAAAAAAAAAAAAAAAAAAAAAAAAAAAAAAAAAAACGGAACACATAACAAAACGTCTGAGACCTTTTAAGGTATGAGGTAAGTTAGAAACTTACTTAAGAAGAGTACATTTTACTGCTGAGTTCTGAACTGGTAAAAATAAGGGTGTAATCCTGGAAGTGCTGGCTCAAGGTCCTGCCTGTGGGCCCAGCAGCCCTGCTCATCAACAGCATCCGCAGCGACCCTACACACAGCATGGCCAGCCTGGACCTATCTGGTCGCCAAAACTTACGGTGTGGCTTTACGATACGGCATCTCTTTCAAAAAGGGAGAAGCATACAGAAGAGGAGAGTGGATTTCATTTTTCTGAAAGCCAATTTTAACCACTGCCACAGCATGTTGAAAAATGAATTATTTAATCTCTTTTATGAAAGAGTGCCTCTTTGCAGCTAACTCGTACTTTTGCAGTTATGGAGGAAGCCACCTGACTCTGAGTTGAGGGGGAACAGCGCTACTAAAATACAGTACCACAGGGGCGCCTGGGTGGCGCAGTCGGTTAAGCGTCCGACTTCAACCAGGTCACGATCTCGCGGTCAGTGAGTTCGAGCCCCGCGTCAGGCTCTGGGCTGATGGCTCGGAGCCTGGAGCCTGTTTCCGATTCTGTGTCTCCCTCTCTCTCTGCCCCTCCCTCGTTCATGCTCTGTCTCTCTCTGTCCCACAAATAAATAAACGTTGAAAAAAAAATTAAAAAAAAAAAATACAGTACCACAGGGTTTTCATCTCCAGAAGAGGGAGATGAAAGGGATACTGGAGAAGACTGTGTCCGGCCCAGGAGCCTTGGAAAACTAGGGAACTTGTATTTAGGCACTTCATAAGCCTTGTCCCTCCAGCCGTGTTATAAAACCGTCACTGGCAGTAATCCACTAGTCCAGGCACGTCAGATAATAGAATTTCCACGGCACTGTAATTGTGGGGCCAGACCTCGCCAGTCCCTGGCACCAGAGGGTTAATAAATGCATTAGATGTTGTTAACCTCTGTTACCTGGAGTCAGAACGATGATGACGCTTTGGCTTTTCATCCCAGTGATTAGCATTTGGAAAGCCTGCCATGGTGCCAACGTCCTTCCTGTCCAGAACGCACAGACACTCAGGCCGCTCGCATCCCCAGTCCGGCCCCACCCCTCGGCCACTGCACGCACACTCGAGCTCTGTCCACAGGAGGCTCTCCCGGAGCCTGGGGGACAAGGCAGGCTTTGGAACAGCACACTTGCTCTGTTTATGGAATCAGAGACTTAAAAGCACACCGACTCGGAGCCTGGCCTTTGCTGCCCCAGGACTCTGTTTCTGTAGAGAAGCCAGTGTTTCATCTCAGGTTTTTAGGCAGCTGTCAGCCAGCAGGGCATGGAACATTTCT